TTGTATATATGTAAAGAATAAGTATTTTTAACATTAATAAAATTTAAACGAAAAAAGGGAAAAAAACCCTTGTATTTATATGAACTGTGAGGTATTTTCTAACCCCAATAAGAATTTCACTGTATAGCAGGCTAAGATTATCATCAGGGTTGAGTCAAAATGCACACCTCTTGTATTTTCTGACCATAATTTTAATTCTAAAGCCCCCACAATGGAATAAATTTCAGGCTCCCCTGAATGGAACCAACCTGCAGACAATGGTCGAAAGCAAACCACAGAAATGATCCAGTTTGAGATTGCTTTGACTGCCCTGGTTCAGTGCTGGGTAATTCTGGGAATTGCAGTTTTGTGAGACATTTAGTCTTCTCTGTCAAAGAGCTCTGGTGCCACAATACACTACAATTCCCAGGATTCCCTATCACTGAGCCAGGGCAGTTAGCGTGGTCTCAAACTTGACTGATTCTGAAGTGTATTTTGGACCAATATGAGCTTGTCACTGCTGCTTTACTGCAAAAACAAACATCAGTATGGGACATTTTTTTTATTATGTTGGCTGGGAAAAGCAATTACAGTAACAAAAACCAATAGATTTGTTGGGATTGTTTCTTTTTGGCCCAGCTATTTTTTTGTTTGTTATTTAAGGGTGGTGGTGTGTGGGGCTGTACATAGTAAGTTCTTTTTGAACTAGAATATTATTCTGGAGAACTGAAATGGCACATTCTGGTGCATAAATGAACATGCTCTGCAGAGGGGCGGGATATAAATAAATATTATTATTATTATTATTATTATTATTATTATTATTATTATTATTTAATGTGTTAAATTACCCTTTTTACAGTATTTTGAATCTGGCTTCATATTTTTTTAAAAATGCAAGTTTTGAATAGCTGTACCTTGACTAATACCTGACATCTGGGGAGAGAGAAAAGAAATGGCACTGTTTACAATCTAATTTGATTTTTTCCCCATTTACACACTTGCTAATTCATTTAGATTTCAAAATTGCTGCATATATTAATTATCTTTTTCCATCAAACTCAGCAGGCAGGATTATGCAGAATGATAAGATTGAAAGTCAGTCTATTTTAAGTTATATTGACAGATTGAATGCCAGCTTTGATGTTCTTATACAGTATAATAACCTTGTTACGAATGTATGTGGCCACTGTAGGGTGGATGTTGCTTTGAAAAAGATTAGCCCCAACAGCTCAAGTTGAATCAGCTGAAGGAGAAATAGTCTGAACCAGCGATTCCCTAATTCACTGCCCTCCCTGGGGGCAATGGAAGAATCTAGGGGGGTGGTGAGGGAAAACAGGGGTGACTGGGGAGCCTTCAGTTAAAGTATTTGTGTGCAGGAAAGACAAGGGGAACCAGCAGTCTTTAGCACCATGGTGGGGTTGAGGATTACATTAAACTTTTTTTCCAGGTCCCCAAAAAACCACCACACAACCTTGCTGATCATTTTGTGTGGTGTTGTCTCCCGCCCTTTTCCTGCTTACTGGTGCCTTTCACTAGTAGTGGCAATAGGGAAACTTTTGTGGGGCTGGGGCACAGGCGATCTCTTCTGTGGCTCAGAGCAGCACTATTTTGGGACAGACTGGAGCAAAGAGTTAGAGCACATGGTACCAGGGGAGAAATGGCGGCAAAAAGGAGCTTTCAAATTTGGGACCCTGATTAAGCTTTGTGAGCTTTGCTGGGAC